GCCCTGCAGACAACGTGCTGGGAGGAAGATCTGTAAGGCAGCAGCCAGTTGAGGAAACAAATAATATTTATATGCCCTGCCTGCCTGTGGAACTGGAAATAAAACCTCCTTGCCAGTAAGAAACTCAGCCCAACCCTCGCGGCCCCACCTGCTCCCGGGGAGGGCTGGCGCTATAAAGAGCTGCGGGCGGCCAGCAGAGCTCACAGCGGCTGCGGCTCTCCGGGGAACCCTCGGCTCCCGGGGGACCATGGCAAAGAGGGTGGCCGTGGTGCTGGCTGGCTGCGGGGTGTTCGATGGCAGCGAGATCCACGAGGCCTCGGCGGTGCTGGTGCATCTCAGCCGGGAGGGGGCTCAGGTAAGAGGCACCCGCCGGGTCCTGCCCGGGCTCCTTTTCCCGGCTCTCGCTCCCTTTCCCGGCTCTGCTCCTCAGCCTCTCCCCTCCTTGTTTCTGGGACAAACTCCCCAAAATCCAAGCAGCGGTGCCTGGAGTCACTGGGAACGGTGTGGAGAACTCCCTGCTCAGCTCTGCTGTACAAAGGGATTGGTGTGGGGCTCTGTATCCAAAGTCTCCAACAGACTTTGCTAAATGCCTTCGCTTCTGGCTTCACATCCTCTTCTCTCTCCTGGTATCTCTGTTTAAAAGACAGTTTGGGCTGTTTGAAGTTCATCTTTTTAAAATCTTCAAAGAGTAAAAGTGAAAATAGAATCAGAGAATCCCAGAATGGTTTGGATTGGGAAGGACTTCAAAGCTCATCCATTCCCATCCCCTGCCATGGGCAGGGACACCTTCCACTGTCCCAGGGTGCTCCAAAGCCCGTCCAGCCAGACCTGGGACACTTTCAGGGATAAGAGAACAGATAGGGGTTTGTGAGTTAACTTGAGGAGTAAAAAAGGTGCAGCTGCTCTAAAAGTCGGGAGAGCTGCTCCGTGAGACTGGGGAAGGAGGGACAGAAAACCTCTGGAGCATCACCCTCAGCTGTGGGCCACCCACGTGTCTGGGTCGGAGCCGTCCCCTGGGAATGGGAATTGCTCAGTGGAACACAGAGGCACAGGGGTGACCTACCTGTGCCAGCCCCCCCAGTTCCAAACCATTCCAACCCTGCCCTCGCTGTTTGGCTCCAGGATGAGACTTGGCCAGGCGTTTTCTCCACGGTGTGTAATTTTGCCTTTTCCTCTCCTGGAGCTCTGGAGCTGCTGCAGTCCTTCCATCCTGCCATAGCCCAACCTAGCAGGCTCGGAGCCCGTCCCTCCCTCAACCCTGGATCGGCAGGGGCCTCTAGTGGAGGAAACTCGGGCGTCATTTCAATCACAGCACAGAATGGAATATTTCAGCTGGAAGGGAGCGGAGCTCAGTACTTCCCTCTCCACGGGAAGCTGCCATGAGGTTGCCCCTCAGCTTCTTTTGTCTCCCTCCTAGATAATTCCGGAGTCCTCAGCTGTTCCTCACAAGGACATTCCTTCCAGCCCTGCCCTCCCTGGGACACCTTGTTGTTCCTTAAATCCTTCTTAAATTGTGCGGCCCAGAACTGCACAGGCGGGACAGTCCCAAAATCTGTTCACCACCCTCCACTCTTAATTTCAGAATATGAGCTTGAAAGTGCTAAAGGAAGGGAAAGCATTTTCCAGAAATGGCTTTGGGAAAACACTTGGCAGGGAGAGGAAACCCCAAGTCCTGTCCTGGTGGGAGATGGGGTGGGTCAGCAGCTCTCTGGGTTGTCACCCAGCAAAAGAGATTTATTGGGATATGGATGGACTCTTCAGCCCCCCAGACAAGCAGTTCTGGGCACAAACTACTGGAAGTTTCCTTCCTCCCTTCCCTTCTTCCTCCATGCCAGCTCTTTCCCAAGAAAGCCCCGCAGCATTCCCTCTCACTGCCTGTGCCTTTCCCACATTTCTCCATCATTCCTGAAGGATAACAGCCCTTTCCCCTCACTCCAGGCTGAGGTTTATGCTCCCAACATCCCCCAGATGCACGTGGTGGACCACGTGAAGGGGCAGCCAACTCCAGAGCAGCGCAATGTCCTGGTGGAAAGTGCCAGGATAGCCAGAGGCAACATCAAGGACCTGGCTACGCTGGATGTCAAGGGGCTGGATGCCCTCATCATTCCAGGTGGGATTGTGTGGGGTCTGCCTGTCCACAGCTTGGATATTCCATAGGTCTGGAATGATGTGGGAGTCGTGGGATGGAGAGGGACAGGCTGGAGCAGGGCTTGGAAGGAGAGACAATTTAAATTCTTTTCTTGATTCTGGACAAATGCTGCCAACCATCCAATGCACCTGAGCATTCCACCACCTGGCAAAAGTCCTGCCCTGGGCATAATCTCCAGCCTAAACGCTTTCTCTTTCCTCAGGTGGCTTCGGGGTGGCAAAAAACCTGAGCACTTGGGCCACGCAGGGCAAGAACTGCAGCGTCTCCAAAGAGGTGGAGGATGTCCTGAGGGCATTCCACGCTGCCCACAAACCCATCGGGCTGTGCTGCATCTCCCCAGTGCTGGCAGCCAAAATCTTCCCGGGCTGTGAGGTGACTGTGGGACATGACACGGAGTGTGAGCAGTGAGTATCAACCCCCGGGGCAGGGGGGGGGTTGGTGACAGCCACACGAGGGTCCCCCCAAAGTCCCCAGGAATCCTGGCCAGGTGGTGGAAGTCTCACAAGGAGCTGAACGCTATTGCTGAGAACCCAACTCTGCTGCCTCCAGTGGGGCCTTCAGCAACTCCAGCCCTCTTGGGGACTTAACAGGGAAAAGTAGAAACTCTGGAAGACTGATTTTATCATTTCCCTGCACAGCAGAAGGAATGATGTAACACCTGATCTGTTTGCATTTTTGTGACTTGTTTCCACAATTCTTTGTGTCTTTGTTTCCACAACTCTAAAGTGTCTTTGAATAAGACACTATAATTAATTTAAATGTAATGTATTATTATTTTAAATTAAATATTTGCTCCCCTGAAGCCTCACAGACCTAGGGTAGGAAAAGCCTTTGCTGAGTCCAAGCCAAGCAGATCCAAGGCAGGAACAAGATGGTTACCCAAGGCTTGGGGTGGGAAGAGAGGGAGGGAATGAAACTGTCTTCAGTCCTACAGGGAAGCTGTGCTTGGATTCTCCCAAGGGCAGGCAAGGAACGTTGATGGGTTTTGCTAGGAAGGGATTTTGTCACCAGCTCGGAGGAAATTGGTGGAAAAAACCCACCCCAAACCTAAATCTAATTGTTGCCCAGGGAAGCTGTGGCTGCTCCATTCCTGGCAGTGTCCAAGGCCAGGCTGGATGGGGCTTGGAGCAGCCTGGGACAGTGGGAGGTGTCCTTGGGCACTGGGTGGGCTTTGAAGTCCCTTTTCACCCAAATCTTCCCAGGCTTCTATTAACATGAACACTGGAGTGGGCAGAATTAGGTAGTGGAGCATCCAAAGTGGAACTTCAGGCCTCATTTTGGCTTTACTTCAGATTTTTAACTCATGTGAACAGGAGGTTTTCCTGTTGCATAGTCCTGGAGAAACTCGAGCAGGAAAAGCTTTGGATCCTGCTGAACAGGTTTTGTGCAGTGACCAGAGAATCTTACCTCTGGCCCTTCCAGTGCAGGAGTGTAGAAGATTCCCCACTCCATGTTTTCATTCCCCATTCCCTTGCAGGTGGCCTTATGCCAAGACTGCTGAGGCCATGAGGGAGCTGGGCTGCAGGCACGTGAACAGCCAGGTCAGCGAGGTCCACGTGGACGCCAGGAACCGCCTGGTGAGCACCAGCGCCTTCATGTGCAACGCCCCCATCCACCAGGTCCACGACGGCATCGGGAAAATGGTGCGGGAAGTGCTCAGGCTGGCCTGAGCTCCCCCGGGCACCCAGCTCCTCTCCGTGGATCATGTCCTTCCCCTCACACAGCAACAGCAGAAGTGATACTCAGGAGCTCTGCCCCAGCCCTCTGGTGGGTGATGAGGAGGGGGAATCTTGGAGTTGTGTTCTGCCAAGGACACGTCGCTCACTGGCAGGAGCTGGGCTGGGAGCTGCCATGGGATCGTGGGATGGTTTGGGTTGGGAGGGACCTTAAAGCTCATCTTGTTCCAATCTCCCCTTCCACTATCCCAAGCTGCTCCAGCCTGGTCTTGGACACTTCCAGGGGAAGCTACAGCAGCTCTGGGCACCTTGTGCCATGGCCTGCCCACCCTCACAGGGAGGAATTCCATCCCAATATCCCACCTATCCCTGCCACAGGCTCCCACAGGGCCCAGGGTCGGCTGCTCCCAACCCCTCCCTCAGAGTAATGAATTGTGGCCAAAGGAAGGAACCCAGTTCTGCTCCCAAATAAAAACCTGATGCTTCTACTGAATTCTGAACTCTGCTCCTGTCTCTGCTTTTCCCTCTGGATCAGGTCAAGCTCTGGGTCATTTGGGAAAATGATACAGGAAGAAATCCCCAGCACCATTCCCCACCTTGTTTTTCTGGGATTTGTCAGAACTCAGACAGGAGCAGGAATGTGACACTGGTTAGAGCAGGACCAGCCCCACCAGCCAGCTCTGGTGGGAAGAGGTGAAATTCTTCTCCTGCATTAACAGAACCAGAGAATTCCAGGTTGGAAGGATCTCAAGGGTCACCTGGTTCTACCTTTCTTGGTAAAAATATTGTCTAGAGATGTCCCAGCAGTCTGTCCTGATGGATCCCAAAGTGCCCAAACTCAGGGAACCCACCACTTCCAGCAGCTGATTTTCTCATGGGGAAAAACTGTCCTATGGTGTCCATTCAGAATCGCCCCAGGAGTATCCTGTACAGATTATCCCTTGTCCTTTCCATGATTCCTCATAAAAAGGGAGTTTCCTTCTCCTTGTAGCCACCCTTCAAATACCAAACATGGTGACAAGATCTCCCCTAAATCTCAGTTTCCCAAGGCTAAGCAAGCTCAGGTGTCTCAGCCTCTCCTCACATGGGAACTTCACAGGCTTTGGATCATCTCTAGCCTGGCCACATGTTTTTTTTTGGCAAAGTGGGTATCAAAACTCTTTCCACAATTCAGGTGGCTTAAAATAAGATTTTATTTGAAATCCAATCCCATCTGCAGCCTCTGAGCGTTCCTGCAAGCACAGAGCCCTCAGCAGCATCACTGGGACTATCCTTCTGCAAAAATTTCCTTAGCCATGTGAACTGAACACAAGGTAAATTGCAGCAGTTTATTTTAGTTTGAGTTTAAAGAATGCCCTAGAGAAGGGGGAATAGAATAATCCCATAAAACAGGTTCTGAAAAGGTGGATCCTGCAAATATGTCATAGAAAGAGTTCACTGTAGGGCCCAAACCAAGACATAAACCCAAAATAGATTTACACTGAGCAATAGATTGACACTGTCTGGTTTGGAGTCAACTGGAATAGTTTGGACCCATTTTTTAGTCAGAAAAGGATCTGAATTTGGTCCCAAAAATGTGATTTGTGTATTTAAAGCAGTGTAAACATCATAACCAGCAACCACATTGCTGCCTGAAAACAGTGGTGCAAACTGCTCCCAAATACCTTTAGAACTTCTAAACAAAAATATTCAACACCAAAACCTTCTAACAGAACTGACCTGTATTTTCTGCTGCCTCCAAAGAACTCAAGACACTACAAAAGTGAGGCTCTCATTCCCTAAGGAATGTACCCAAGTGCCAAGGAATAAATCCACTGAGCTTCAGTAAAGGCCAGTCTTCTTCATGATCCTCAGGAATTCCTTCTCGCTCACTTGCCCATCCCCATCCCGATCTGCCTCATCAATCATCTCCTGCAAGAGATTTGGGGTCAGGATTTAGGTGTGGGCTTTATTGGGAATCACTGGATTCATGCAGAATTCCAGCCACTCCTTAGCTGTGTTGGCTCAAGCACAGACAAAGTATTTCCTGAAATCTGTTTTGTTGGGTGTATTTATAGAGAAATCTGACCAGGCAATATTACAGGAGAAGTCCTGGGGGGAAACAAAGTGCTTGGAGCAGAGTCATTCCTTTCACATCATTGCTACTGGACAAAACTGCAGCTGGATGATCCCATTCCTACATCCATTTGGGCTCAAACCCATCCTCGACCTCAAAATCCACAGGTTCCAGAAATCCCTCCCTTCCTACCAGCACAGAGAGGATTTTCCTCCCAGCTCCAGCACAAAGACCCCAAAATCACAGGTCCAAACCTGCAGCTCCTCATCAGTGACGTTCTCCCCCAGCACTTTGGCCACACGTTTGAGGTTTTGGAAAGAGATTTTTCCAGTTTCATCATCATCAAAGAGTTTGAAAGCTTTGAGAATCTCCTCCTTGGAATCTTTTTCAGCCTTGAAGAAGAAAGAATAAGTTTAAGGTAAAACAGGAGTGGTTGTGTTATAGGTGACACTCAAAATAATGTTATAAAAGATTTGATAGACTGAGAAACCCTTGGGAATAAATAAAGGAGCCCAGTCAGCAGGAACTACACATAAAATTCAGATAAAGAGACACAACCAGAATTCCAGAATTTCAGGGATTTTTTTTCTGTCCTTGCCAGCCACATATATTTGGGATTTCACTATCAGGGTGTTCTGCTATTAATCATCGGGATTTTGAAAAGATTTTTCAAACCAGAGATTTAACTTATAAATTAGAATTCAAGGAAAGAAAACACCTTCATGCCAGACATCAACCCTCCAAAAGCTTTTTACAGGCCTGAGCTGGTTTCCATCTGTCGGAAAAGCTTTTTTCCCTTTTTTCAAGCACAAAATTCACCCCTGGTTGTTAAAGAAACCTGTTAATGATATCATGATTTTAACTTTTCCCTGAAAAATAAAGAGAATCCAGGATAGGGATTACCTCAACTTTTATACATCTAATTGTTAGGTTTAAAATATATAGTGCTTTAATATCCCTGTAAACCCAAAAGGAGATAAAGTTTCCTCATCCACCTTGAAATTCCCTTTGTTTGGAGCTGTGAAACATCCATACCATTCTCTGTGACATTGCTGCCAGGAAGTCACTGAAGCTGATTTTTCCTGTCCCTTCCTTATCGATGTCTGAGATAATTTTCTTGATCTCTTCTTTCTTAGGTTCAAACCCCAGGGCCCTCATGGCTACCTGGAAGGACAAAATAAGTTACAAATCCTACAAAATTATCACCAAAACCACAGGAGAGGGAGAAAAAGTGAACTTCCTGTAAAAAAATCTGTGTCTTCTGGAAAACAGGGGCAGGCTGAGAGTGAGGCTGCTCTGCACTCTCATCAGGATGCAGAAAACAGGGATAGAAACATTCCTGTTCTGGAATTGTCCTTCAGCTAATCCAGAAATTTCCTACAGACACTCTCACCATCTTTAAATGGTCAAGCACAGGGAATTTAAATAAGTTTATTTTACATTCTGGTGATAAAAATCTTGCTGGGAAAACATTTTGCTTCTTTGATAAAAGGCCAGATAATAGCAACAACAATAATAACAAAGCATTAAATCCTCAACAAGAAGGGAACCCCCCCACACACCTTTTTAATGGGCACAACCCCTTTTTTTGATAATTTATGAACAGAGAAGGAGTTGGGATACAAAGCACAGCATTATACATGAATTTTGGGCAGCCCGGCCCTAAACACACTGGGTAAGAGCAGGAAAGAGCTGCAATTAAGGAGAAAACCGTGCCTTTTGCCCACCAGGTTTTCTGCTGGAGGGAGGAGGGAGAAAACCCACGAAGCTCCTGTGCTTTTTGAGGTTATTTGAACATTTATGGCCCTGTTCCCTTATAGCCTCGGCGATTGCAGCCGCAGGAAAAGCCCGACCTTCAGCTCCTTGACATCGATGCTGCCGCTGCCGTCGGCATCGAAGAGCTCGAAGGCGCTGCGGATCTCCCGCTGCTGCTCCTCCGGCAGCTCCAGCCTGGGGCTCCCCTTCTTCCTCTGCGCCGCGGCTCCCAGCGACGCCTTCTTAAAGCCGCAGGCCTCGGCAAGGCACGGCCGGCTCGGGGGGGAACGGGAAACCTGGGGGACTCGGCGCTGTCACTGCCCCTGAGCCCCATCACAGCCCCTGAGCTCCATCACTGCCCCTAAATCCCGAGTCCCCCTCAGTGCCCTGAGCACCTTCACTGTCCCTGAGTCCCCCACAGCCCCTGAGCCCCCTCAGAACCCCTGAGCCCCCATCACTACCCCTGAGCCCCATAACAGCCCAGAGCCCCATGATTGCCCGAGCCCCCTCAGTGCCCTGAGCCCCAACCACAGCCCCTGAACCCCCTCACAACTCCTGACCCAAACCACAGCTTCTCAGCCCCCCTCAGTGCCCTCAAGCCCCCCTCCCAGCCCCTGAGCCCCATCACAGCCCCTGAGCCCCCTCACTGCCCCTGAACTCCATCACAGCCCGAGTCCCCATTACAGACCCTGAGCCTCCCTCAGTGCCCCTGAGCCCCCTCACTGCCCCTGAGCTCCCATCACAGCCTCTGAGCCCCACCACGGCCCCTGAGCCCCCATCACAGTTCCGGAGCCCCCTGCCAGCTCCCGAGTCTCCTCAGTGCCCTCCCAGCCCCTTCTCGCCCCCGGCCGCTCCCCGCCCTCACCATCCCTCCGGTTACGGCCGGCCAGCCGCAATATCGTGCCCTCCCATTGGCTGTCGCCCCCACGCTGCTGCTATGGCAACGCGCGCTCCCATTGGCTGGCGTGATGGCGGAGATAAAGCTGAATGAGCGCGTGGGGGAAATCTCCTCCTTCCTTCAACGCGATTGGCCGGAGTGAGGAGGGGATAGACCAATCAGCGAGCGGAAGCGGACTGGCGCGATGCTCGCCCCAGGGAAAGAGGCGGGAACAGGGTGAGGGGGGCGTGGTCTGTGCTAAAGCGCGGCGCTGATTGGCGGAGAGCAGGTAGGGGCGGGGCCTGGGCGTGGCCGGAGCTCCCTGAGGGCGGCGGTGGCGAGAGAGGGACCGGGAGGCACCGGGAAAGGTGCTGGGAACGGCGGGCTGAGCTCTGGGACAAGCTCTGGGGGAGCGGGAAAGGTGCTGAGAGCGGGCTGGGCTGTGGGACAGGCCCTGTGGGAACGGGGAAGGAGCTGGGAGCTGTGCCGGGAGCAGGTCCCGGGGCCGTGGGGAGGGTCCCGGGGACTGTGGGTGAGGTCCTGAAGGCCGAGTGGGGAAGGATGGGCGGCTCTGCGACGGGGCTGAAAAATCTGAGGGGAACTGGAGATGCAGCAGCGTGTAAAGTGCATTTTGGAGAGGGATGAGGTGCTGGGGGGCAGGGGGTGGAAGAGGGAACAGGTGGAGGGCGATTGCTCTGTGCCCCTGCTTTAAAGCAGCTCGGTGCTGCAGGTGGGCAGGCACGGATCCCGCCTCTTCTTGGCTTTTTCCTTGGAATTTCAAAGGGGTTTCAGAAAAATCAGTGCCAAAGAGCCAGCCCAGCACCTGTAGTTGGTGATCTAGTTTAGAAGAACAGGGAGAATGAACTCCCTCTCTTCATCCTTCTTCAGCATAGTGGCTTCAAAGCTTGATTTCTGTAACTAGAAATGTGTTATTTTATTGGAAATAAAAGAATATTCTCCCTTTTTTCAAGGATTCTGGTGGACAGTGCCTTACCCAAGCCATGGCCACACGCCTCAGATCGGTGAGTTGGGGCCTCAAATAGTGCTTGGGGAAGTTTTGTATTGCAGAAGCAAATCCATAAACATTCTGCACATCACTAGGGAAGGCATGAGGCTGATCCTGCATTAGTGGTAATTCTGAGGAGAAAACATGATTTTCCAAGGTATAATTTGGATAGGTTGAATTGATACCTTAAAATCAATATAGACGTTTAGCTTGGCTTGCCATAAATATTATGCTGTGCAATATCAAATTATAGAAAGTTTATAATCAAATTATATATAATTGTGGATCCCCTGGCAGTGTCCAAGGCCAGGTTGGATGTGGCTTGGAGCAATGTGGGACAGTGGAAGGTGTCCCTGCCCATGGCAGAGGTGGAATAAGATGAGCTTTAAAATCCCTCCCAACCCAAACCAGTCTGGGATTCTGGGATTCCTTTGGAGCCTCTGCAGTGCTCTGGAGCTCAGAGGCAGAGGGCAGCATTCTGCTGCAGTAAAACTTTACTTCAAGCACATCTCAGAGCAGTTTGGGTGCTCTTGGTTCCTGGAGAGTGCAGGGCAATCGGGGAATGGCAGAACAGTGTGGGGTGGAAGGGACCTAATGGGAAAGAGTGCAGGGAAAAGGAAAATGTCAGTGGAAGGGAGTGGCTGCCTTTGAGGAGAGGCTGAAACAGTTTCTGGCTCCTCAGCAGCCATTCCCCCTCTGATTGAATCCCCTCATCTTCTCCAAAGCATATCCCAGAATGCCACACCTGCTTGTTGGCTGAACACCTCCAGGGCTGGGGACTCCAAACCTCCCTGGGCAGCCCCTTCCAGGGTTTGGCCTCTCTTGGAGTGAAGGAATTTCCCCACTCTCCACTCTGCCTCTCCCCTGGCCCAGCCTGGGGCCGTTCCCTCTCCTCCTGTCCCTGTTCCCTGGAGCAGAGCCCGGCCCTTATAGTAAATGCAGGTGAACCCAAATGTCTGACTCAATTCAGAAGGCTGAATTATTTCCTTATTATAACTATGCTAAAATACATTAATATACTATATAAAAGGAGGATACTAAAACTACATACTACTTTCTCTGACTCTAACACAACTCATGACCCTCTCTGAGAATCCAGCCCCAGGTGGGTTGGATTGGCCATCAGGCTCAAACAATCCTCACCAGATTCCAATCAAGCATTCACTTCAGGTAAACAATTCTCCAAACACATTCCACATAGGAAAAACAAGGAGCAGAAATAGAAATTGTTTTCTCTTTCATTTCTCTCTGTGCACCTCTTTGAAAATCCTGAGAGGGAAGTGTGTTTGCCAAGACCCTCCCCTCCTGTCAGGAGCTGTGCAGAGCCAGAAGGGCCCCCTGAGCCTCCTTTTTTCCAGGCTGAACCCCTTTCCCAGCTGCTCCTCACAGGAGCTCCAGACCCTGATCAGACTGTCCTTTGCATGGCCCATCCCAAATAACTGCTTCAGCTTTGATATAACTCAGGGAATTCCTCACATTTCTCTTGTGGATCACCCAACACTTGGCACAGAACCTTTGTTTGAGGATGTGGCCTTCAGAGAGTTGTGAACAATCATTGTCTTTGTGTGAGAGCTCTCTGCTGAGGGGGGGTTGTGTTACAACCAGGAGGAAAACTCTTTCCAGCAGCACAGAGCATTCTTTGTGTAACTCCCTCAACTGATCCTATAGAAAATAGGATCCCTCAGACTCAGGGCCTGGATGTTCTGTGGTGGCAGTAAGGTCATTGGTCTCAGTCCAGTCAGACGAGTGGCCAGACTGAACTCTGTCAATTAGTGACACCAATCAATGATTTACAAAGCTTAAAGAAAAAGAAAGGAAGAACTAATGGCTCTAAAGGACAGCCCCTGCCTTTACCTGGTTGCTTTCTTGGCTGTGAGTGTCACAGCTTCTGATAACGGTGATGGTTTTAATGTTTGAGTCAGCTTTGGCAGGAGGCTGAAGCAAATCACAGAATCATCCCAGAGTCCCAAACTGCTCTGGGTTCGGAGGGACCTTAAATCTCATCCAGTGCCACCCCTGCAGAGACAGGGACACCTCCCACTGCCCCAGGCTGCTCCAGCCTGGCCCTGGGCACTGCCAGGGATCATGGGGCAGCCCCAGCTGCTCTGGGCACCTGTGCCAGGGCCTGCGCACCCTCCCAGGGGATAATTCCTGCCCAGTATCCCAATATCCCATCCATCCCTGCCCTCTGGCACTGGAAGCCTTTCCCTGAGTCCTGCCTCTCAGTGCTCCTGTAAATCATCTCTCTCCATCTTCCATGCAGGCTCCCTTCAAATTCTGCTTTGCTATCCAAGCAGAGTTCATGGGGGCCAATCTTCTTTTCCTTCCCTCCTTCCTCAGCCTCTTGGTTGTGAGCGTGAGGCAGAGTCCTTCCAAAATCCCAAAATCACAGTGTCTGCACTCATACCTCCCTGGGACTGCACAGAGCATTGATGTCCCAGTTCAGATCCCTCTGGTGGAGCTGCTGAGCAGAATTCCAGCTCACTGAGCCCCAGGGAAGCTCAGGCCAGTGTGCTGTGTGTGCTAGGGAGGTTCTCCCTGTCCTGTCCTGTCCCTGCAGGCTGGCAGGAGCTGCACCGTGATCGGGGGCTCGGGGTTCCTGGGGCGGCACATGGTGGAGCAGCTGCTGGCCAAGGGCTACAGTGTCAACGTCTTCGACATCCAGCAGAGCTTTGAGAGTGAGCAGGTGACCTTCTTCCTGGGAGACCTGTGTGACAAGGAGGTGAGGAAGGACTGGCTGCAAATTAACAATGGCAAATGCAGGCCTTGCACTTTGCCTTGCACTTTTCCTTGGAAACCTCTGAAGGAAACAGAGCCGGTGTCTGATGTCTGGATTCTGCTGAGAGCTGAAGAGAGCAGGACTGCTTTGTGCCTGGTGCTTTGCATTACTGTTAGCTGAGATTTATAGGGTAATTATAGCCCCTGGGCTAATTGTAGGAGGCTCTCCCAGCTCTTCTCAGCTCCCTGAGAATGGCACGACTCATATTCCCAACAGTCAGGGTGGGATGAGTGGAAGCCTTGGCCAAGGCTTGTGTGAGCCATGTGGGAGTTGACTTTGGGACAGTCACCTGCACTCAGCCAGTGCCATGGGGAGCTTTAAACTTGCTGCTTCCTCAGTGTCTCACCTCCAGGTAGTCCTGAGCCTGGTACCTGCACCTGGGGATTGCAGGGAGCACAGCCTGGAGGGCCTCCAGCTCTGGGGAAGCTCCCAGGATTTCTCTGGGGGGAAGACAGGATGTGCTGTGTGCTGAGGACAGGACATTGTGGAGATCCTGGTTGCTAATCCCATTCCTGGTGCCCACCTTTATGGAGGGAACATGACTTGAAATGCAGCTGTTCCCATGAAAAAAGAGCTGCTTTATTTCCCTGCTGTTATTTTTTCCTGATACCTGCCATGGCTGTTGTTCCATTCCCTTCTCCCCCTGGTTTCCTGCAGGCTCTGCTGCCAGCCCTGCAAGGAGTGTCTGTGGTGTTCCACTGTGCCTCACCAGCCCCTTCCAGTGACAACAGGGAACTGTTCTACAAGGTGAATTTTATGGGAACCAAGGCAGTCATTGAAGCCTGCAGAGAAGCTGGAGTGCAGGTAAAGCTGGAAAAGCCCTGGAGACCAGGAGGGGCTGATGGACTTTGTACCACTGGCAGCACAGGCCAGTGTCAGCCTTGTCTGAGAGGGGGACAAAGGGCTCTGTGATACTGAATTCCCACTTGGTCCGTGAAAAACAGTGGAAGAGAAACTCTGTGGGACTTTGTACCACTGGCAGCACAGGCCAGTGTCAGCCTTGTCTGAGAGGGGGACAAAGGGCTCTGTGATACTGAATTCCCACTTGGTCCGTGAAAACCAGTGGAAGAGAAACTCTGTGGGTCTCCTGCTTAGTGTAAGCTCAATCCCTGCTTGCCACAGAAAACCACATTGTGATTGGAATGGAAAAGCATCCAGTAAAATCTGTCCACCCTGGGAGAACACCACCTCACAGGTGGCTTCTTTCCTGCTCTCCTAAGGGGACAGCCCCAGAGATGGCTTTTCCAGCAGTGGGAATATTCATGGCA